TTTCCCTCCCCATCTGGGTTTCTTTTCTTCCGCGCAGCAAGAAAACCGGATTATTTTTCTGTAACATTTAATCACCGCTTTAAAAAAGAATGCAGACGGTGAAAAGTTCGATTTTATTTCTTGAGACCTCTTTTTTTTTCCCTTCTTCCTTTTTTCCTCCTTCCCAGAAAACTAAAAGGGAACTTATCTTAATGAAACAACTGCCACAGAAGTAAACAGCCGATCTTTGATGGGTGTGGGGGGTGATGCCATCCTTTCGTATGTAAATATTATCTAGTGCTCCACACTGACTGTCGGGCTCTCCCTTCAGCACGATTTACACTTGCAACTGCAATCTGAGGAGTAAATGTATTTTTAATGGACGAATTGTTGTTTTATTTCTAACTTCCACCCCCCTCTCCAACCGCCGGTGTACGTGAGTGGTGAATGTCCTAGAACTTCAAGACAACCGTTCATCACAGTAGATCTACAGCTTGCAGCTTCTGTTTAGCGAATGCAAATAAGAAAAAAATCAATAAATGCCTTTTGAATGATCCTGACGATGAAGGCTTTTTCGCTTTAAAGCACAATTAAACAGAGGAAATCGTAAATAATCCTGTCGCAATCCAACCATTGTTTTCCATCACCATGGATGGAGCAGACTTGCACGAATTTGACTGACCGCACTGCGCGAAGACTATTAACATCATTCACGTCTCTTGCAAAAGAGAGATTAGACAGCTAGGAAATGTCCCGATATCTGATCTGTTTAAAATGACGAGCAGTGAAAGGATTCTCGCTATGATGTTGCCTGTTAGGAAAAATTATTTTACAAATGAAGGTGACAATTTAACAAATTAGCGCCTTTAATGAAAGGCAATAATTTTTTATGCTACCTCGTGTCGTATCCAAACTCTAAATCTCAAAGATCTTATAAATCAGATAAAAAATGGCTTTTTAAATGGCGTCCATTTATAATGGACGACAAGAATAAATTATTAAAAAAATTCAAAATTATCAGTTTTCGATAATTTAGGAATCAATACGTTTGCTTTAATCCGCACCATTAGTAAATGGTGCTAACATTTTCTTTAAAAAAAACCCTGAATAACTCCGCCACCGTTATTTATCTCATTTTTGTATGCAACTGAATAATTCTAATATCATGGATCCCCCTCCAAAAAAAGCAACTTACAGAAAAAGGTAGTTTATCCTATAATACAAAAGACCCAAAAGTAGTTGAGAGGTTAAGGGAGTACAAAGCGGTTCGTTCCGGTTCAGTATACGAAAGAACGGGATACGTGAATGGTGGTGTTCATTCAAATGACGTATAAGGTATAAGCCGGTCCTTCTAGAGTCCTCTATGAAGACATTCTGCCTAAAATATATTCTTCTCATCATCTTTATGATGATCTATTTGAGTGTCGAAAAAACAAATCGAGTAACTGTAAAGTTCGAATGCGCAGAAGTGGATGTCAAAAAGCAATAATTTACAACGCGCTGATTTCTTCCAAATGTTAACAAAATAATAGCGCGCAGGAGAAATGCTAAATATATAAACGGTAACCATTAGATCCTGTCAATACGTAACAGAAACCAGAGCTGTATGATTAGCGAAACGTTAATAGAAAAATATGGGATACGAAACTTTAATAACTCCAAGACTAAACTGCAGATAGATAATCCCACTGGGCAAACAGATAGCATTCGATAAAAAAAAAGAGAATCTTCCGACGGTTAACGAACCCCAGATTAAATTTACTAATGGCTCCAAGAGTGTCTCCTAAATCAGGCATAAGATCTCATTGCCACTATGATTAGGAAGAAATTAAAAATTAGATTCAGTATTCAGAATACTCGTCACACCAGTAGTAAAATTCTTTAGAGCAAAAATGGCCATTTGAAAAACTTTTACTTCTATACCTTTATAAAACTGCAAAATAACATAACAAAAATATAAAACATATGCTGTACAAACAGCACTGGTTAATATTATAATCCTTATAATACGCCATAATGAGGACCTGAGCTATTGCTAATTTGTTCAACAGAGAGGTATCGGTATTCTTTTCTCTCCTCCTTCCTAAGCTTCTGAATTTAAATAATCTTCAGTTAAATAAATGGCTAAATTAAGAATTTTTCAGTTTAACCACTACTTAACTATTTTTAATGAAAAATATATAACTAAATAAAAACTGCTACGGACAGAAAATTTGCTGAAATACTAATTGGTAGTCCAGTTACACATACGAAATAAATTAAGATTAATTTAAAAATAATACCGAGTATTGGATATGCCTAAGTGACTATTAAGCAAGCTTAATAATACATTAAATCCCATACATCTGACTCTGGCTTCATTGCTGTTACAATGGATTTTATGCGCAAAACATAATTACTATAAGTCTCAACTGACTAGAAAATTTAGTTATGCTACAAAACTCTATACTTATCTAAATTATTTTGTAGAGTCATTAGGTTTATTTCGGAGCAGGAAACAAGGAAAATTAGCTATGCCACTGCCAGGATTTGAGCTCTGGACCTTCCATTGCTTGGCCCATGTACTTTGAATCACACCACGAAGGCACACTATGAGGAAGAAGAAAATTCTTTATATTCTCATCCGATTAAAGGCGACAACTGAAAAAGCCGCCAGATGAAAGTGGTAAAGAATTATCGTCCACCACATTTTAGTTCTTTAAAGCCATTTGTAGAGTCATTAGATTTATTTCGGTGCAGGAAAAAAAAATCAGCTAAGTCTCTCAGTGATTCGAACTCCGGATCTCTCGATTGCTAACTGGACGCACTTCCACCATGAAGGCACGTGGGGAGGACGGAGAAAATTCTTTACAATTACTTTTAGGACATGCATAAAATAAAACCAGAAAGACTCTTTATTCTTTCCACCTCACTTTAAATGAGTTAAAAGTGGCCTTTACTTTGTAAATTTACGAATTTTTTGCATATTAACAAATGAAAATTATCCCTTCAAAACTGATTTTTTTTTTAATTTTAGAAAGTTTTATTTTATTAAGGCATACAGTGCCAAAATGAATTTCGGCAACTGAATAGATTTCGATAGTTCAGAGAACTATAAATAAAGATCTTCTTCTAAATTTAAATTCACTATTTGAAATAAGATATTTTAGATGGTTTAAAATTCGATTTTTTTCAATACTACGAACTCTAAATACTAAACAATTGATTTGATTAAGTGACAGGTTAAGTGATTAGTAAGCGTTACTAAGCCCTTGCTATACAAGATGCTCATATCATATTAAGCATTTGTTAAATAAAGTTTTACATATAAATATTGATTATTAGTTGAGAAAATCTCCGGTCATTCTTGTCCTTAGCCGCATCTTTGTTAATAATGACTTAAAATTATTTAATAAATATTTTAATGCAATATCAATTTATTAAGCATTTTAATGCAGTGTAATGCATATTAATAAATATATTAATGCAATATTAATTTATTAAGCATTTTAATGCAGTGTAATGCATATTAATGCAATATTAATTTATTAACCATTTTCATGCAGTTTAATGCATATTAATAAATATTTTGATGCGTTACAAACATTTGACTTTCTAAATGCTAAATTCGCTCATTATTGTAACTGAAAAGTTTCAGTAAATGAAAAGTTTCTAACCAATCTGTTTCACATACACATTTTTCTTTCTAAGCGTAAAGCAAACGACTCACATTTTAGAGGCAAAGCATAATATTCATGTGACGGCGTTCACTTTATTTTGTAATATTATTATTTCAAAAAGCATTAGTAAATTAAATTTCCCACACTAAAGTTTCTGTTAGTGTATTAATTTTATAGTTACAAGTAAGTTCTTATTCATACTGAACGGTATAATAAGCAATATGACCCTGACTTGAAACTATATCTGAACAACATGTACATGAAAAATAACCAGCGATAACATATTCATGAGCCACGTAATTTTTCATGATTAACAATAAAAAATGTTTGTTTTCAGTGATTGTTAACGCAACACGTATATCAATGTAATTTAACGCTATGATTTGGGACAAACAATTGGCGTAATAAAATATATAACACTATTTCAGCTTTCCAGTTAACGGAATTTAAGATGCATAATAAATAGCAAATCGAAAAACACTACTACGAATTTTTTTTTGTCTTTCCCGGATCCTCATTGCATTTTTGAAAGGAGGGAAACAAAGGAATTATTTTCTCGCATAAAAGAATCTTGCAGCATTTATAAACTACAAATGGAGTTTTTCTTCATCAACTACAGAGGATTTTTTTCAAAATATTTTTTTTCCAGCTTACAATGAGTTATAAAAAGAATTTTCGCCTAAAGCTAAAACGTGGCAAAGGCAAATTAATGAGAAAAAGAGCCAAGAGAAAACAGTTTTTCCTGCATCTCTCACGAAGGCTTCAGGCCAAAAAGAAGCTGGAATAAACTGAGCCTTGAAACAAGCAATTGGTTTTAAAACTGAATCTAATTCTCCTGACTTCGTTCCTACCCACCCTACTTGTATTCGAAGCTGTACAAACTCGGAAAGATTTATCGAGTAAAAGCATATAATACAAAAGAGGTAAAATATTCTTTCTTCCCTCGTCTGTTGGTAAAAGAAATAAAAATTACGAAAGGGAAAGAAAAATAGCCTGGTCAGGAAAAAAAAAAAAAATAAATAAATAAATAAATAAAAAATAAAAATAAAAATTGTAATTCATATAAAAATATGCAATTATTTTTTATGGTGTTTTTCCTTTGCCCAATGCAGTTATTTCCTTCATAGTTTTATGCTGCACTGTAATTTGTTACAGAGAAAACGTAATCACTTGGTTTGTTATAAATCATTTTCGAAATACGAAGTGATAATGTGAAATAAACCAACCAATCACTAATTGTAGTTTAAGAAGTTTATACATATTTTTCCTTCAGTATGTAAAATATTCTTAAGTTTTCTTTTGCTTAGATGCGTTTAAAATTATGACTGAATATAATTTAATTTATCATATGCTTTTCCTTACCTGAGGAATAGTTGTGTATGGGCGTATGACTTGGCATTGCTTCAGTAGCATCATTTAGTCCGTACATTCCTAGTAATTCCTTCATTGTGTTCTCCGCGTAATCCTTCATTGTAGCTCCTTCCGCACAGGTATAATGGGGCTCACCAATAGGTCTTTTTACTGCAGAGTAATTCTGGTGGCACGCGAGACGAGGACTAATTGAAGATTCCATAGTGGGTCCACTGACAGAATGAGTGGGACTGGAACCGGATTCAAGTTCCTCCCGAGCGCAGCTGCGAGATAAGTCCATGGCTGGAATTTTGTCCTGATCATCGTCCATGGCAGAGTCATCCATTTCTTCGTCATCATCGCAATAATCATAACGAGGGGTATTCACCGGACTCTTTACACTATTTAATCGAGGACTGTCCTCTTGTTGACTTTTTGAACCCAACCTCCACCGAACAGATCCAGTCTCGCTACTCAAATCAAGAGGCTGTTCCCCGCCAATTCCACGATCACCTTCAGAGCTTCTAGATGGAACAGGAGATGAAGGGGAAACACGATAAGGGCTGGACCTTGAAAAATCTGGTCGGTCTTCGTAGCAATCCTCATCAGTGACATCATCGTCATATTCACTATCCGAATAATGATAAACAATATTTCGGGGTTTGAAATTTTTTCTTTTATTTCGAGATTGCCGGGGCAGGGATGCTTCACAGCTGTCTCTGGGGGATGATCGATCAATTTTCATTTCATCTTTTGATTCATAATCATCGTCATCATCCATGGGGCACATAGGTGATCTGATATCCATAGCAGTCGCTGATGCAGACAAAGTGAGAGCTCTTGGTGGTGATGATACATCCGTAGTTGCAATAGATGGAGGACTGCCACCATTGATGACTGCAGTGCAAGGTTCATCATCATCTACACCACCGCCGCTGATGGAATTACTACTGACCATGGAGGTGATGGTGGCGGCACAATGACGTACAGCCGACGAAGTGATGGCAGCTGAGGTGACGGAGGCAAAGGGAGGAGAGGATGGTCCGGTCGTCGAGGTCATACTCGCGCCGGATCGCTAGAATCGATCTCGTCGCTTCTGATCATCTGGATAATACTTGAATGTTCAAGATCACTGTAAAAAATAAGATAACATAAGAGAGCGGCTAGAAATAATATGATAAAGTAAATGTAATTATAATATTACATATACCAAACCAGCAAAAGCAAACATGCATCTAAATAGAATATTATGTATACACACACACACACACACATATATATATATAGAGAGAGAGAGAGAGAAAGAGATATCTTAAATAATTGATTGGAAAAGGGTATATTTTTATTTATTATCCACAACTAAATAACAAATACGAAACTTGTCCTTTCCTAATCAATCTTAACAGAGTTGTTTGAAAATAATCTCTTCATTTTACATCTAAAAGTATTTCCTACATTCATAATAATTTAACAGCGACTGTATACAGTTTACTAGTGAGCAGTAAAACATCTGTAAATTAAAGTTATACTTTGAGCAACACCATAATATCTTATCATTCTTTCTATTTTGTAGATATGGGAACATTAATGAAGTAATAACATACTTGGAGTTCCCAATGACTCTTTCTGTCCGTTAGGAACACATCTTTATCCTAAAGAAACGCCGATAAGGCAAGGAACTGAATTCAGAATTTTCCAAATCTAAATTACATTTCGTAAAATCAAGCACTATATCGATTCTATGAACATCTCATTAAGACCAAGTCCAAGGACCCCTTACATCATTACCTTGTTCCCAGACATAAGGATCTCCTTGCTTCTGATCACTCAAAAGTTACTGTAATCACACAGAGAGAGAAAGATAATTCATTCTCTTCCGGATACATGCGCTAACACTTGCTTTCAGTATCCATGCTGCGACAGATAAAGAAAAGGTCTGAGCAGGACAATCTGAAATGAAAAAGTCGCTTGACTGAGACCCCTGGAGCGTCCTCATCTTTCTCAAGGGGAAAAAAAATTCATAACAGGTGACCGACCCGGCAGCTTCAAAAACTTGTCGTTCGGGCTAGATTTGGCTTTAATCGATAGAGCTGAATGTGGAATGAAGTTCATCTGCATATCAAGCAGCTTTGCTTCATCGAAACAGGATTTAAAAAACAATCATCTCCTTAATCGCCCGCACTCTTCGAGTTCGAAGCAGAATTGGTGGATGCACTGTATGAAACAATAACGGGTCTTCAGCACAGCTGTGAACTTAATCATCCCTACCCGAAATGCGAACGCGAAATGAAATGTTTTTTTCCAATCTAAATGAAGCGAAAATAAAAATACGAAATACATTTCAAGCTTTTCGAAAGATTACTCCACTTTTTTTGATCTATTCCAAAAATAATTTTAATATTAAAAAAATCAATCCATTGATTTTATTCAGTATGATATTAAGTATACTAAATGACAGCACTCGTACATATTTTGAAATAAAAAAATTAATAATGTGACATTATAAGGACTCGTGTAGCTATGTGTAGCAAAATCAAAACAGCTCACTTCACAGTGATAGAGTAAAAAGCGCTAATTTCGCAAAATTTCCTTTCCATAATAATGAGTAAAATTTTTATTTCTATTCACAAAGAAATTAATTTTCATCATAAGAAAATGATGGAAGAATTGAGAAATTTCAGAAAGAAATGCGTCTGCAGATGAGTTAAGAAAAATAGAATTCAATACTGAAAAATATTGGACAATATAAAGAGCATTTCAAGAAAATTAATTCCATCGAATCAGAGATTGCAATGTATAACTTGAATTAGGTAGTTATAAAATTAAAAATTTCTCTTCACATGTAACACAGATAAATATGATATATCTTTGTAAATTTTCAGTATTTATCATACATATCACTACACGCCCTCTTCATATGAATGTTTCAAAAATATTTTTAACAGTTATAAATATTTATAAGCTTTTAAAAAATACCTTAAAATTAATGAAATTATAAACTTTTAGAAAAAGCTTTAGATAGATAGAAATCAAAAAAATATCGCCATCGATTATAATGTAACATTTTTACATCTCTGTTTATCGAATTATTTCCAACCGTTACACAAGTCGCCCAGACGAGAAAGTAGTTGGCGATGCTGACTGTCATAGCGAAGGGCCATGGTTTGAATCCCAGGGACGGCACGGATGTTTGTTAACGTATAGTGTCTGCGCGGCATGGGAGTACGCAAAATATCCGGCAAGCGGAAAGTCCTCTCGAGGGGTTTGTAGTAGGGAAAGAGGTGGGGAGACACTCGGACCTGTCCCTCGGGGTGCTCTCCTACAAAACTGGGGCAGAACTGAGCAAAGTCGGACTGTCATCTACATGGTGCTCAAGACTGGCCAACGATATATGTAATCTAGTACTCCTTGCCGAGATAATAATTAGTGGATTTGTTCTTATTCAGACAAGTGAGATTAGTAACAACAACAACGCCGTTACACAACAACATTTCCTGTCTTTGTTGATCAATTTAATCGCCTAATAATATGAAATTATTTGTGAAAAATTTTACACGATTTATATAAATAAGTAGCTTTAAAGGTAAGAAGTGTGAACTACGCGCTATTCATAAACTGCAGTTAGAGCATGAAAACCATAAGACTGTAACATTCGTTTCTTTAAATAACATTACGTTACGTAATCTACACAGCAAGAATTAACTACGCAAGTCAAGTGACTACTTTCCTCCCTCCTCTCCAATACTGAAGAATTTCATGATAAGACGTACATTTTGAGTAGAAAAATTATTTTCAACTTATATGGAGTAATCTACTAGATCCAAATAGTCCAAATCGTATTTGAAATATGTATATACACACAGTATATTAATACAGTTTGAGAGGAACTCAGATTTTTTAAGGCTTTATTTATATCAAACAAAACACATGTTTAAACAAATTTTAATTACCATATCTTTGAAATCTTAAGCAACAACTTATTTAGCTTTTATTTCAGTTACTTCACGAATTAATATTTATTACGTCTTCCTCTGCCAGGTCTCCAGATTATTAAAAAGAACTGTTTTCAAAGTCGCACTCAGATATAAATATAGCGACACGCCTACCTACTCATGTAATAATTTATATTTATCTATAGTGAAATATTGAAAGGTGTATATAACCGTTCTGTATAGCTGCCACGTAAAGCACACTGAAGTAATTATCTGAAGACAGTTGCTATTGCGTACAGTATGAATTAGAAAATATCACACGCAAGGTAATATCTGCACTTAAAAGTCCTTAAAGTCTACTGAAATAATAAAACACTATTACAACTATTCATTAGCGTAATATTTCAGGAAATAAATTTTATTTATTCTGTTTCTATAACGAGAATCTTATATTCCATACATATACTTCACTTCATACATTACCAAAAAATTTATACTACATTTTATACACAAGTTCCATAAAGGAGACAGACCGTATAAACAGCTAAAGATCAGTAAAATTAGATCAGACCACTCAGTGCAATTAAAAGGAAACGTTTTACACAGATTTATAAACAAACTTCGGTATCTCTCCCGTTAACCCGGAAAGGCTGTTTAAAATATTCCTATTAACATGCTCCTGATAATACAACAATACTGAAAAGTAAAAAAAAAAAAAAAAAAAAAACTAGTAAATTTCAGACGTAAAACAGACACAAAGAAATAAACTAACTTAAAATGGGTAGTGTAAGTTTACTCAGCTAAAATAAGGGAGGAAAAAAAAAAACTATCACTTAATATTTTAAAAGCAAAAAACTGTCTCAATCCAGATTGAAACAAACCTCGCTAATTGGAAGAGTTCTTTTAAGAACAGAAGCAAAGGATAAATTCGAGTCAAAAGCTTTCGTTTATAATAATTGCGCACATTTTTATATTTTTTCACTCGAAGTGGCCTAGAAAGGGAAATTTATGCTCATCAGCGCGTAAAAGTGAAGTCATGTAATTGAGATACGCGCCGGGGACTGGCCCAAATTGATCTTGATTGGACGTGATCTCAATAAACGCAGCTGGACTCGTCTCAGCGCAATTCCCACGGAACAGACACACTCTTTGTGATTCATATTTCCAAACTCCCACCATTCCTAACGCAATCAACGGGTCAGAGGCCAAAGGGCAGCCTCTTAAAAAAAGGATTCAGATGAAAAAAAGGCCCGGAGCTTTACACTTTAATGGCCAGAGGCACAAAAGAAATAAAACATGACGCCACGTCCGCGCAATTTGAAGAAAAAGTGGAAACTTTTGTATCTTAATGCTTTTAGCGAGGGGGGATGAAAGACGAATAATAACACCGAACACCATTCGAAACGACACAGAAAAGGATAAATGCTTAATGATGTATGTGGTAATTGTATCCTGGGCGTTGACAAAGGCCGCCGGTAAAAGAAGGAAATTTAAAAGTTATCTTTGATGTTGTGTTCTAAAAATGTTAAAATGCATGTGTTCCGGCTATAAATCTAAAGACGCGTCTAATGTTGGATACAAAAAGTCTTCACCACTTATCTGCGTGCATGTACAAAGGCAAGAGGAGTGAATTTCACATCTCGCAGTTCTTTTCAAAATTTCCTTCATTTAAAGAAGGAATACAAGAATCCTTTCAAACCTTTAAATTAATTACAAAACCTGCGAAAATTTCGAATTCGATGCATTCAAAAAAAATAGCTGAGTTACATTTTAAGAGAAAAAAATACATGAATAAGCAAGCTGGAGTAATTTAATGCATTACTGTTTAATTTAAATGCCCATTCCGCTACATCTTCTAAGAAATATTTTTGGAAAAACGACCGAAACCATAGACGCGAATACGAAAACGTTGGGAAACACCTCTTACGATGACAGCTTCCACTGCTATGAACCCCAACAAAAGGTGCTCGAAAGAAGTATCTTCAGACAGACTAAGTATCCTTTTAGACCATTAATCTCGGAGTAATGGGTGTTAACCCGAAAATTGGTGCGATTTCTGGTCTCGTCAACAGAAAAGTATCCACTAGTAAGCGCAAGTAGGATTCGCTTGATTGATTGCACCCTTGCGCTCTTTTCTCCTCCTCCTCCAAATGTAATGGAGTTCGAATGTCAATCATACGTCCACAAATCCTATTCTGGA